GATTCCACTAAATTTGATCTCAGATATTGTTCTTCAAAAAGTGGTCTCTTACTTGGACTTATACGTGATAGTTCTGTTCGTACTCACAGTGGTGATGTTTATTATGGTTCTGGATGTTTGTACAAAGGTTTGAGATTTTGAGTTAAAAGAAAAATCATTCAAAGTTGTAAGAGCTGAACCTCTATAGAAAAAAATCCATCCGAAATTCTTTGTGAGCCTTGATTAAGAGAGATAGAGATGAAATTTCACTTTTCATTACATTTTTAGATAGATTCACGCACTTAAGTTGTGCGATTGATTTTCTTAACTTGAAAATATTGTATTGATTTGGACTTTTCTGAAGTCGAGTAGAAAATCAGATTGTGAAAGCGAAGACTTTGAAAATTATTTGATAGAGTGAATCTCTATTGCGAGATATCAACGATCTATTTAATGAAAGATATTCTTATTTGATGGACTATTCCTTTATGTCCAATAATTATAAGGTGTATTGGATTGAAAGAATAAAATATTGTTGAATATGATAAGGTTTGAGATATGCAGTACAACTTACGTATTTGCTTTTGAAAAGAGCGTTGCCTAACTATAACGTATCAATTAATGGAGTTCTCTCAATGTTAGTAACTTCAGAATATATAAGTTTTGGACACATAAATAATCAAATGTGGGTTATCATAGACTCTTAATTGACTATATATGTTCTCGATAATAGTATGGGAACATGAGTCTGTTAAGAATAAGATGTGTCTCGATGACAAACATATAGTCCAAAAAGGTATTCACGTGAAATTTTTGGATGGATATCGAGTCATAAGATATGACATTTGACATTTTTCCCAGTAAGGGAGAAAAAAATTAAAAAACATCGTTGAAATTGATATTATATATATTGATGAATCAGTTTTGAATATATAAGAGATGATTCAAACTTCTAATTCAAGTGTGAGTAATCTATTTTCGAGTTGGACTTATCTATCCAAGTGGGAGCCATTTGAGAACTGTCTAATTTTAATGATTCTTGGTTCCAAGTTGGATCTAAGAGCTAGTTTAGAAAATCAAAAGAGGAATTTTGAGAAAAATGATGGAAGTCTATATATGGAGAATATAATTTCAACTTAATCTGGGATATGGTGAAAGTTCTATTCGGACATTATGTTTATCGAAAATATTCAGGTTCTTGAAAGTTAAGTGGGAGACTAGTGAGTTTCTGATAGATAAAGCTTATTTTTGAAAAAGGTTACACTCAATGTGAATGTATTGAGTTGGATAAATTTTTTCATAACGATGAAATTCGCTTTTGTACATCAATGCTAGTCGTGATGGTATGTTTAAATTTAGAGTTACACCAAATTGACCTAGAGACCGTATTTTTATTCTCAATTGAGAAATGATTAAAGATATCAACATGAATCGACTTTTAGATTTCATGTTAAAGATTTTTTTGTGTTGTGGTAACTTTACAGTTACATGCATGACCAAATACAGTCATCTCGACAGTTGTACTTAAGTTTTTAACAGGGTTAAATCCCGTACAAGAATTTCATCATATTGACGAAAATTACTGTATTTGTATAAAAGGTCTGATGATAGATTGTAATTCTAATATTGATATTGATGACATTGCATTGGCTAAGCATGATAAGGAGTGTATAGAGACCATTTTGAAATGATTGTCGTCAATTTTTGAGACAAAAGACATGTGTTTAGCAAATTGTATGATTTGTTCTAAGAATACTTTTCGTATGTCCTTGCTCTATCATAAAAGTTTTATACTATAAATGCTCATGTGGAATTGCAACTGTGACCATATAAGTTTTCATAAATGTCCAAAGACTTCGTAAGTGCACAAAAAAATATCCAAAGAACCATATCCATTACGATTAAGAATTAGGATATAGAAGTATACTATGATATATACTTGTCCTAACAATGGTCATGCCATTGATCTAATTAGTAGGTATCAATATTATTTTTAGAAAATGTATTGTGATACCTAAAGGGTGCTGCTATAATTATTCTATTTCGTTGTCAAAGGAATAACTTGTGATTGGAATAGATATACAATTGTTGACTAAGAATGAGAGTTAGCCAAGCACAATTAGTTATTTTGACTTGTGCACTTTTGTTTTATAGAGTAGCAAGAAGCATATGTTGTAATGTATATCTTGGCAGCTAAAGAAATTGTTTGGTATGGATGTATAGAGCGTCTAATGATACTGGTTGAGAATATGAGATCCATGATAGTTACGCAACTATCTTATATGTTGAGATCTCAAGTATCAAGATGGAACCAAACACTTAATAGTAATTCTGTGAGAGACATTAGCAATGAAAATGTCTTTGCGATATATCTACGTAAATGATTATATGTAATCATCATACACTGAAGATGTCTAGAGATATATTTGTTGATAATATGAAATCTCTAGAATTTCATAGAATATGATACTTGGTGTATTAGATAAACTCTTGATTGAGTTTTGTGTGCTCATAGATGAACAATTTTGAGTTCATGTGTAATTTAATGTTGGGATTACAAGATAAATGATTTTTAGGCACATATAAAGTAGGTTGAACGGGTTAAGATTGGCTTACTCACACAAACAATCGCCTCAGACATTTTAAGATGTGCTGAGATGAGACATAGTGATCATGTTGTGTACACGATCCAGTCGCCTTGATAGTGATCATTTTGTTTACATGATCCAGTCGCTTTGATAAGGTATCAAGATGATATTACAATAAGTAATCGAAATGGATTTCGCTATCCATTGAGTTCCCGATTTGAGAATGTTTGGAGGAATGAACATAAGGAAAACTCAAGTTAGGTATCAAGGAATACTTGAACTAGGATCTATACGGTGTTATTTGTTTACAAAGAATATGACATACGCCCTAAGAAATGGAGAAAATATCGTAGCACGTGTTTCATACCGCATGTGCTTTTACGACCAATATTGGGTAAATGAGTGAATGGATCCCTGCTTCCTCATTCTGTGAGACCCTTTGGTTTATGTAACCTAATATATACCCTTAAGACTTTTGATTGTTTCTTGAGATTTTATTTCAGTATTGCTACTTTAACATGTTGTCAATGACTATGATTGATTCGATTTAATGGGGCATGTCTAGGAAAGCAGCTGATTTAAAGTTGAAGGATTCAAGTAGGAAAAGAAAACAATTTTGACAAATATTTACGTTTGTATTCACCGGCCAAACAATTGTGTTTAACTATTTGGGGGTATAGAATGCAATTGTGAATACAATGAAATGATGCACGGTTCAAGTATGTTCCACAAATATTCGAGGGATCGAAAATACTTGAATTAACGTTGGAAAATGAGTTTGGGGTATAGTGAGATGTGATGTTCCTCCTCTAGTAGAGCGACTATATATCCCTAACAGGTTTATAGTACCGTGAGCTCTAATATTATTCGTTGGTCGCACGATCTATTTGCCGTATGAATCTTTGTGAGATAGATCTTGAGAAGGATCTAAGGTGTGACATTTGTTCTCACTTGTGGTTCGAATCAACCCTATCATGTGCGAGTGAGAGATGACCCGTAGGATTTTAAAATGATTGGAGGGAGTGGTTTGAATTTAGAATTCAAACCTATAACTCCCAAGTAACTACTTGAAACTTTCATATAGAACTTATGGAAAAAGGAACAAGAAGGTGGTATGAAAAATATGGTGAAAATTCATATGTAAATACACCAAAATTGAAGAGCCCCAAAAATCACATTTTTGACATGAAGTCTCACAAGAAATGACACTTAGAATGTGGTTAATAATCCCCTTCCATTGTGATCGGGATTTGGACTATTGGAGTGCAAGAAAATGCAAATTTTAGATATTTGAAAGCAAGGTGATTCAACCACACAAAGACTTTGAAATTCATCTTTTCTAGTAAGTTTGTTGACCCGAAATTCATGTCAAAGCATGCTACGATTTTTCCTTCATAATGTAAGATCCTAGTACATTTAGGATCGTTAAAGTTACTTAATTTAACGGAAGATATATGATCATGATAGGTAACTTGCATTCAGGGACGGAGCTAAGAACTTAAGTTACGGGGACAACAATTTAGAAATTTAATGTACAAAATATCTACTTAGTGCTTACATAGTTTGTTGCCCACAACGTGAACGGATAATTAAATGAATTGTTAAGCTTGTTTCGATACTTTAAAAACAAACTAATCAAATGCTTGTAAACAAATTTGAACAGAAAATTCATTAAAAACTAAAAGTTTGCAATTAAAAATCATAAATATAATGTATAAAACCATAAACATAACATAATTAAAAAAATCATAACATAACCAAGTGTAAAATAAGAAACTGATTTTACAAATTTGGTGGGTTGGTTAATGGTTGGTGGGCTAATGGACTAAAATTAAAATATTTCAATATTTTTTTGGTACTTTTATTGGACATGAGCTTGGGAATTACTGGCTACAGCCCAGTAGTGCCCTCCCTTCCCCCGTCTCTGCTTGCATTAAAATAAGTTTATTACCGTTTTCTAATTTAACAAAATTACTCCCCTTATGGTCCTTATCCTATTTCTATTACTAATATTAGAAAACTCAAAAAGCATTTTCAAATTATTACTAAGTTCAAATATAAAAAAATTTCATATTTCTTTAAGAAAATTGAAACAATAATCTGTTCATTAATTTTTAATTTTTTTCATTTTAGTTTAGGTTTGTCAAAGGATACTTGGTTAAAATGATGAGGAGGGAAGCAAGTTGTAACTAACATAACTGTCAAAAGACAGCAATGAAAATATTAATTACTGTCCCATATTTTTTCATGGAACGAGGGAAAAATCTACCTATTTTTTCTCCTAATTAAGTGGACTATATGCAAATTTTAGGGCGTTAATATGCCTCCATTACCTCATAATAATGGGATCTCCAGATTAGCGTCTTCCCTTAATAGATTAATCTTCTCACCATTGAAGCAGAAGCAAAAATTCTAAAAAGAAAAAAGGAATTTTTTTTCTTCTCGAATTTGTGGGCTAAATTCATTTGATTTTTTCCACCTGCAGAAGCTTTCTTGATATTCAGAAAAAGAAAAAGAAAAAGAAAAAGATGTCAACATTCACAGGAACTTTAGATAAATGCAAGGGTTGTGACAAGACTGTTTATTTTGTTGATTTGTTATCTGCAGATGGAGCAACTTTTCATAAATCTTGCTTCAAATGCAGCCATTGTAAAGGCACCCTTGTGGTATTTATGCTTTTCTCATTCCCAGATTTCTGGACCTGTGTCATTGGAGCTTATTGTTTCTTTCTTGTTGATGATATATCTTTTCATAATATATAATAGTTTTGTTACATATACCATTTTAATAATCTATTCATGATCGAGGATAAGTTAGATTGGCCAAAAATTAAATTTTGGAGATCTTTTTGGTTAGATTGTTGAATAATGACAGCAAAATAAATTTTACTTTTATTAAATCTGAGGTAGGCTATATAAATTCTTTTGCCAGTAATCTATGTTATTTATTATTAGACTTGGTCGATAATTCAAAGCAACTAATTTTTTTTTTTTTTTAAATAATATCTTGAACATGGAATATATGAACTAGATTAAGAAATATTCAAACTATGAATCTCACTAATATCTCAAGTTGGGATTCCAAAGACATTCAATTAATTTGGTTCTATAAAGTTGATTAATTATCCTCTCATTTTGTTTCAAAATTATGTGTATAATATGTATCTTTTTGCTATATTTTTTTAACAGATGAGCAACTATTCTTCCATGGATGGAGTACTTTACTGCAAGCCACATTTTGAGCAACTTTTCAAAGAATCTGGAAATTTCAGCAAGAATTTTCAGACTAGTAAGAAACCCTATTCATTTGAATAACTTACAAATCTTTTCACGTAGCTCTTTCTATAAGTCTCATCCAGTCCTACATACCGAACTTACCCTTAAGTTTTACCTCAATTTACTAATTGTTATTTTGGTTTTTGTTGATGAATGTTTGAGAGCAGCAAAGCACGAAAGGGAAAATTCAACGGTGTGTGCAATATGATTCCTTTATGAATTTGTATTCTTCTCAGTCACATATTAACTGAACTCATTCTTACAAAGGCCTAATATGTGAAGCTTTTGTAAAAGAATGACAACGAAACTTGAACTCAACGTTATTTTACAGAGGCCTAATATGTGAGCTATCTAAATTCATGCAGACAAAAGCACCAAACAAGCTCTCCGCCATGTTCAGCGGAACCCAAGACAAATGTTCTGCGTGTAACAAAACTGTGTACCCACTAGAGAAGGTATGCTATGTTTCTGTAAACTCATAGTTCCATTGTGGATACATCCTCACTGCCTGTTTGGTTGAGTAGAATAGACATTATTAAAAAGAAAAAGAAGTCAAAATTTTGTCACTTTTACTATCCCACATAGTCCAATTCCAATACTGCATATCGAACAAGCATATGATTATATAGAACTGGACACTACCATGAATAAGGTTTTGTCAAATGTTCTCGAGTTGACCCTAGGGAGCATACCTTCACGGGATTCAAGAAGACAAACTCGGATCATAAATGAACTAATGCAACGCAAATTGTAACAAAATTTTCTTGAACAATGTGCTTATCAGGACATGTTGGTAGGCAGGACTAAACACTGCAATAGACAAGATTTTAACTTATAATTCTTTTTCAATATCGTCAATATTGTCATGTCTACCTTCTCGAACAAGTCATCAGGGGATTACCAAATCCGACACACAAATTATACCCATGTTTGTTTTTTTTTTTTTTCCTTTCCTTCAATAATGTCTTGCAACTATCAACAGGTGACAATGGAGGAAGAATCATACCACAAATCGTGCTTCAGGTGTGCCCATGGAGGGTGTCCCCTCACTCATTCATCATATGCTGCTCTTGATGGAATTCTATACTGCAAAGTCCATTTGCAGCAGCTCTTCATGGAGAAAGGAAACTACCAGCATGTAAAGGATGCCACTCATAAGAAGGGTGCTGGAGAGGAACGGGATGACACCCCGACCAAGGCCGAGGAAGCGGAGGCGGACGAGCAGCCGAAGGAGGAGGCAGACCCTGAGACACAAGAACAATCCTAAATACACACAAAAACACATTATATTGGTTTGTTTCAAAATTCTTGCTATTGTTAGTTTTTAACTTTAGGTTTTCTGATTAATTCTTGACAGATTAAAAATTTTACAAAGTGGACTTTGTAAGCATTTAGGAGGTTATATAATTTGTTTCTACAAAAACCTTGTACAATTTTGTTACTTTTTGATAATTAAATTTGTTGCTAGTACAATTTTTTTAAAATTATGGTTTGATAATTGAAATACTTGCTCCTACAAGTTATTTTTCGAAAATTAAGTTTGTTGAAGTACAAATCTACAGACTACTGCAGAATTTCTACAAACACCAAAACTCGCATCTCTAGTCTAGGCACGATGCATCACTCTAGAGATGCAGTATAAATATGAAAAATATCATTGAGTAAATTGTATAGACCTTTTTTGAGTTTCTGATACATCTCCCACTTTTCAAAATTTAAACACAACTCCCTTATTTCAAATTTTGAAAAATGCACAGCTCTCTGAGGTTTATGATAATATATATATATATATATATATATATATATATATATATATATATATATATATATATATATATATATATATATATATAT